TGGATTCCAACAATTCTCATTTTACTGATCAGAGCGACGTGATCATAACCTATACTGTTGTTTGAAAAATGGCCTGATGTACAACCCAGATCGCTTCCTTTTAATCCCGAGATCGTAAACAAAGGCTTTGCTAGCATCAATTCTCTTAGTTTACATCGGAGTGGGTCACCTTTTGGCTTAAAGCATTTCTTTCCGTTCTTAGAATTAAATAAAATAGTTTATAGCAGGCCCAGATATAAAGCGAACTGTCATACATGTAAAAAAGAATAAAATATTAAACACTCTTCTATTTAGCACCGATATCTTCTGCAATGGCGTTGATATAAACGTCTTTTTGGCAATAAAATTCGGGATAAAATCGCGAATCTCTTTATTCTAACTCTTTTAAGAAAAATCCTAGAATTTTATGAAAATCGTTTCTATTTAGCACCGATATCGTGATAAAATCGCGAATCTTTTTATTTTAACTCTTTTGAAAGAAATCTTAGAATTTTATAAAAATCTTTTCTATTTAGCACCGATTACTTCTTTAATGGCGTGGATATAAATGGTTTTGCGTGAATAAGATTCGTGATAATAACACGAATCTTTTTATTTTAACTCTTTTAAGAAAAATTTTAGAATTTTATAAAAATCTTTATTATTTAGCACCGATTTCTTCTTCAATGACGTGGATATAAATGGTTTTGCGTAAATAAGATTCGTGATAACATCGAGAATCTTTTTTTATTCTAACTCTTTTAAGAAAAATCTTAAATTTTTGTAAAAATCTTTCAGTGTTTGCCTTCTACATAACTTACTACTTCTTCCTTATCCATTGAGATCATATCTTTAGTAATAATCTTGTTACGTTATATAACTTTAATATTTTATAATAAATTCGTGTTTTTTTCTTGTTAAAAAAATTAAGCAATAACTACAGGAATCTAAAAAGTTTCATAACAGGCTGGATGGTATTTTCTTTTAAAGTTAAATTATTAAAATAGTTTTTTTTTTAATATGTATATTGCATTCGTTTTAATTAATATTAAAATTAAATATAGCATAAATTTAACAAATTTAATAAAAAGAATTTAACACAACAAGAGATCCATAAGTTACTTTAGTGTTTCATTTAATAATGTAAAATTTCTACATTCTATTATTCACTTACTTTAAGCAAAAATTTGCTAACACGCTTTAAGAGCCAATATTTCAAAAAACTACTATCCTCTAGGGTTTGGTTAAAATTAGCAAGTGCTTAATTTGGTAGGTTTTATATTTTCTATATCGTTTAGCAAAATTAGTTTCTTTATAAAATTTAAAATTAAATTATTGTAAGCTTTTTATAGGTTTTTCCTTTCATTTAAATATAGAGAAGCTAAAATCTTTAAATATTTTCTTTTTTTTTATGAAAAATAATAATTATCGTCATAATAATTTAAGTATAATAATAATAAATAGCTTAAAAATAAATCTAAAAACAATTCTTTGGCCTTGTTTTAATTCTTGCTAGAGGTAAAAATCTTGATTTTCTTTAACGTTTTATTATTATTTATTTTTTTATAATTTTTGTTGTTTAAAAACTTGTAATAAATTTGTTATTATAACATTTTTATTATTTAGGTTTTGTTATTTATTTTGTTCAAGGTACATACTTAAAAATCTTTTAAAGCTTGGTTTACAATATTAAAAAACTAAAATGAAGCTAAGGTTTTTTTTGTATTCAGTTAATGATTGCGAGGGGAAATTGTTTGTCTTAACAACAATTTTGGTTAAAGTTTTCGATTTAGTGTAGCTGATTTTGTAGTTAGGCTACAAAATATTGTCTCAAGATCGCTTATTTCGTTTGCCAAAAGCCTTCATCAACCACATTATTTAGAAAGAATAGAAGATCTATTCTTCTCAGAACTATGTTATTTAAATGCCTTTATATTTGATCTTGCTAGATCTTGTTACTTCTGATCTTGCTAGATCTTGCTACTTCGGATCTTGCTAGATGTTGTTCTTAAGGGTCGTGTATTGCAGATTTTGTATTTGGAAATCAGTCACCTTGAATCTTGCGAGACTTCTTTGATTTATATTAAATCGTATTTGTACATTTACATTTTTTGTACTGATTGTATATCAGAAACCATATCTCCGGACCTGAAATTTATAAATTTCTGTGATCGATCGTGTTTTATGAGTTTTGTATTTGAAAATCATACATCTTAAAATGTTGCAATGTTTGCATAAAACGACAGTAGATCATTGCAGAAAGGATCCTATTTAGTTTCCGTTAGATCTGATCTAGCTAGACTGAGTTTTGCAAATTCTGACAGAGACACGATCACTCTAAACCTACAATTTAAACAAAAAATTCTATAGAATGATCTAATCCATTGAATAACCATTACATCCGATCTTGCTAGAAATAATTTTGTATTTTAAAATGATCCAATTGCCATCTCGAAAATATTTCTACACATGATCGTGATAAACATCTAAGATATTTTCTTCACTAACTGTGACTGATCCATAATCATTCTATTGAATCGTATTTGTACTAACTATTCCTCGATCACTCTACAAATGATCCAATTGTATGACTTGTTGTCATCTCGAAAAAATTTCTACACCTGATCGTGATAAACATCTAAGACATGTTCGTCACTAACTGTGACTGATCCAGGATCATTCTATTGAATCGTATTTGTACTAACTATTCATCGATCACTCTACAATTATTCTTTTTTTTAATTTTTCATTGTAAAAAAATAGTGGTTCATTGCATATCATTTAAATGCCATTTTGTATTTGTTGCGATTATAATGGACCTAATGTTGATAGATATCTTTAATCGATCGTGTTTGTTTATCAAAATGTTGCAATGAGTGCATAAACAACAGTAGAACATTGCATAAATGATCCCATTTAGATGCCGTTAGATCTGATCTTGGTAGACTATGTTTTGAGAGTTCTGAGAGAGATACGATCACTCTATACCTACAATTTTTTAAACAATTTTATTGTATAAAACATCTTAGAATGATTTAACCCATTTGAAAACCTTTATATCTGATCTTGTATTCCAAAATGAACCAATTGTAACACTACAAGTCATCTCGAAAATCTAAGTCTAAATCTGCTCGTGATAAACATCTTAGACATCTTCGTCATTGCATATCAGAATGATCGCATTTAAAGCCTTTTTATATTTGAAAATCAAACATCTCAAAATCTTGCAATTATAAAGGACCTGATGATGATAGATATCTTTGAGCGATCGTGTTTTATGAATTTTGTATATCAAAATGTTGCAATGAGTTGCCATTTGATCTGATCTTGCTAGACTGTATTTTGGGAATTCTACAGAGACACGATCACTCTATATCTACAACTTTTTAAAAATGGTATTGTATAAAACATCTTAGAATGATTTAACCCATTTGAAAACCCTTTTTTGTCATCTTCAAAAAAATTCTAAACCTGATCGTAATAAACATCTTAGTCACTAACTGTGACTGATCCATGATCATTCTTTTTAAATGAAACTCTTTTCTGTTGGCAGGTAGATACGATTAAAGCCTCTCAATTATTTAATTCGTTTGCGCTATTATATTGCAATAGCTTTCTTGAAAATTGATCTTACTATAGATTTCTGGGTTAGAATTAAGTTGTATCCGTACAATCCGTGGCAAATACTTCGTGATTCCAGTTCAATGGGGATCTTTTCATAATCAATGTGATCTCTATTTTCATTTAAAAAATTCCCCAATTTCATGAGTTATCAAAATATCATGAAGATCTATTCACAAAATGGCAACAGAAAAGATTCTCGCAGATCCATTACGATCAGTTTTTATCTTCTTTCTACAAAAGATCAAAATATCAAGGAGATCAATGCCGATCTTCATCTTTGTTCATAAAATGAAATAAGAGCAAATCAGAGCGATCAAACATTACTTCTCTATTTCTTTGCTACAGATATCTAGGGTCAACAGCAGGTATCGAAAGTTTAGCAATCAGAATCGTGGCGTTCTAAATCAGTAAAACTTGAAAATGCGTTACGGAGAGCAACTAAGAAATGTTTAAAATCTCATATTTGTAATTATAATGTTCCTTTCTCCATTAACTCCGAGGCTTTAACAAGATTTTGTTGTGACAAACAATTCCCTCATTATCATTATCTTTAATAATCATGATTTTTTTTTTAAATTTAAAAAACTATTTTTAAAAAGTCTTTGTTTAATTTATATGCAATATTAAAAATAAATAAGATTAACAAAACATTTCATTGCTGTTGATGATAATTTTTACTATTCTATCTTATGGAGGAGTTCAACTGGGGGGAGATGTACAAAATTTCTTTATGATATTTCTGTATAGTTAATGTTTGTTGTTGCAGTTATTGTTGTTGTTATCATTTTGACTATGATTTCAGTTATACGTTTTTTTTTATAATGTATGATAAAGATGTTGTTCTTGTTTATGTTGTTGATCTGCTGCTGTCATACTAATCATTTGATTAGAAATTGGTGGTTCCTCGAAACCACTTGCGGGTGAATCTATTGTGGCGATAGTTGTTGGTAGTTGTGTTGTTATTGTTGTTGTAGTTAAAGTGCTGCTATTGTTGTTATCGATTGTTGTTGGCGGTGTTGTTGTTACTGTAATTATTGGTGTGTCATTGGTCTCATGATATCTACTCGAATAATAATTTATTTCATGATCTGAATAGACTTTTGTTGTTGCAATATTTGGTTGCATGAATGAAGTCTCTGCAATAATTGCTTCAATGTCAATATCGTCGTCATCATCATCAATATGATAATTATGCCTTAAGATGGTTGTTGGTAGTTGTTGTAGTAGTAGTGGTGTTGTTGTAGTTGTTGGTGTAGTTGGTGGTGGCGGCGTTATAAGTCTTTGGTTGTTGTTATTATTATACTGTAATAATGTTAATAAATCATTATGTGACATGGCGGCTGGTATTGTTCTTCCTGTTGCTGTTGGTTTTATTGTTTTATCAAAATGTTGCATTGGTATTGTATCAAAATTATGATCTAAGTCTGGTGCGGATAGTGTGGTTTGTAAAATGGCCTGATGCTATACCCAGATCTGTTCCCTTCGATCACGCGATCGCAATCAAAGCCTTTGCTAGCACCAATCCTCTTCGTCTGAATCGGAGTGGCGTGCATGAAGGCCACCCTTTGGCTTATAGCCATTCATAACGGGTGAGGGTAAAACTCTCCCCGTTCTGCCCATAGCTACCGCCTGCTCAAAGGACAAGGGTGCTACGTATTCCAGTCTGTAAATGGAGAGAATATTTTAAAGAAAGAAAGACAGAAAAATGGAAAACATTTTATAAGTATTATTTGCTTCTTAAAAAAACTTTCTAAATACATTTTAAAACATATATATATATATAATTTATTGCTTATTTTGTTTAGGTTTGTTACCTTTCTCTTTCATACTCCAACTCACGATCTCGTTCTCGTTCATATAACTCACGCTCTCGATCCCGATATTCATATCGTGGATCGATGCATAAGCGGTCCCTATAACGAGCGCGATCACGCTCACGTTCTCTACTACTATAATACAGATCTCTAGGGTCCCGCAACAGATCGCGGTGGTGTGGCAACGAGTGAACACTATGAGGTGTTGAATGATGTGTCTGCAACAAAAAAACCATAAACAAAATGCAAGTTTATCGAAATTATAAAAAAAATAAAACTCAAAATCTTTTGTTTTGTTGGTCTTTGTAAGAAACGGAACATGCTTGGTAGTAGTTGATGGTGATTAGGTAAATGGGTGGTGAATGGTTGTACGAATTTGTTAATGATACTGATCACTCGTATGTATGATTTTGTTTGGTTTGTGGTTTTAGGAGGTAGAAGTAAAATTGTGTGTTAATTTAAATATTAATTTTGTTATAATAATATTTTGTTATATTATATCATATATCTTTATATGCTATTGCCCGGTTTATTACTTTTTTAATTGTGTGCTTTAAGAAAGAAAATGATCCTTTTATATTTGTATTTTATGAATGTTTTCAATGTCGTTATGATTTAACTTAAGAAAATCTAAACGTTTAAATTAACCAATTCCTATAAAAATAAGCTGCAGGTAACATGCAGTCATCGATGATGATGAATTCATTCATTTTGCATGCACTTTGAAACTTTAGCAGTTCACGCGTTTCGTTAGGAGGTTTCAACGAGTAAATATTTTGTTTTAATTGTTTTGCTTAAAAGTGTTGCAGTACCGATATATCGAGGGAAATATTTAGTATTTGTTTTCTTTAATTTCGATTGCATTTTATGAAACTATTGTACAACTCGTATGACAGTGGATTCTATAACGTTTGCTGCTGGTATATAAAATCAAATTTAAATACTTATGTTCTTTCAAAACCGAATGTTCTCCAGCAAAAATAAAACGAAGTACTTCTAGAGGAAGAACATTTATCACCACTTCTAAAGTAGCACTAAGTGATTTTTTTTACCTTCTGTGGAAGCTCTGTTTAATGACTTCCGAAGAAGCGAAAATAATCTAATTCTATAAATGCTGAATATATATTTTTGTTGTTCTTGCACTTTTATCAGTTAAAAATTTTATTTTTAGACTTTTGTATTAAATGTGTCTATTTCCCTTATTAATGTTAATATTATTTAAGTCAAATTAGTTGTATTCTATAATATTACAATTTCACTTCCGAATAACTTCCAAAAAAGAGCATTAAAATTACTTCTTGAGAATGACTTCAGAAGTAGTGAATTTGGATTCAAATAAAAAGGCCATCTCACCTATTACAAGCCTGTGTTAAAATCGTCATATCTTCAGGTCTTTTTCAGTACGTCCATGGAGTAAATTCTACTTCTTTTTCGCTTCTTTGGAAGTTCTTTTTTGGTGGGTTCAGGTCGTCTTGTGTGGTCCTAACGGCTTCAATGATTTCGAAGATTGGTCATGAAAGAGGATTGTATTAAGATACCCCAGATTCAGATCTTTTATCGAGTTCTTTTGAGATTAAGCTACAAGGTTATCTAGGGACGATCGTTAATTGGGCAATTTCAATTCTCAGAATGTTGTCTGAGTTGAGTTAGGAAATTCGTGGAAATTGCTATTATTACGTGGGACTCGGAAGTCCAGATATATTCTTCTTACGATCGTAAATTTTCGGTTTATCTATTAGATAATGTGAGGATAATCCAACACAGAAACTTCTGGCGCTAAAAAATATTCTGGGTGGCACGTATCCATAATGTCCAATTTTCCATAAATCAAAATTAATTGAAAGAAAGGAGAGGTATGTTATGTTGGCTTTGATGGCCTATAATTTTTGGCTTATTAACATAGGTCTGTAACTTAATCTCGTGATCATGGTTCACATCACTTTCAAGTGAGATGCCCATACCCTTAAATCCCTCGTACAAAATGTCAAATGTTGTTAATTGTTGTTGTCCATATCATCCAATTTCGGTCAAAGGAACTTATCAAACATCGATCTACAATGCTATCCGTTGACAGCGATATCCAGTCTAACATCGTACCCAAAAATATGGGCAATTTCTGGTCGAACAACCTAATGTTTAAAATGGTGTCTTCTATTTTGGATGAAATTTCCAAGATTGGTACTATTGGATAGAAGCCAAATTTAAAAATTTACAGCTTTATCGATCAAGAACTGCCGGAGTTAGAGGGGATCAAGGTTGGACATTTTGTTCATGTAGGGTTTTTTCAAATGAGTGTAACTTTTCAGCTATAGCTAAAATTGTCCAAAGGCCTTTACGCAGAGAAAAAAGAAATATACACGCCTGGTACCAAATTGACACCAAACTGTTTATAATTTTTCAATAGCATCCGTTGTCAAAGTATATACATACGTACGACAACACTGTAATGTTGACAACATTGCAACAAATCGTTGTCGAAATCTAAATTTTATACACATTCGTTGTCTAAATGTTAACAAACGTAGTAGCTCACTATTGACAGACAATCCGTTGCCAATAGTGAGCTTACCACGTTTGTTAACATTTAGACAACGGATGTTGTTGCAATTTTTGCAATGTTGACAACGTTACGTTGTCAACATAACATAGTGTTGTCGTATGTATGTATACTTTGACAACGGATGTTATTGAAAAATTATAAACTCTTTGTTGTCAATTTGATACCAGGCGTATAAGTTTCCTTTTCCCTCTGTGTAGATATCCATTTCATAAATCCAAGTTGCCAGGTTAGCATTTTGAAGGCCTCGAAATTATTGTTATAGCTTGTGACTTTTTCTAGCCTTTTTTCCGTTTTCTTTAAAAGGCTAAAATTTTAGAATTTTTACTCCAGTTTTAAGAGCTTATGATAAGAATATTAAGAAAATTTTTCAGATTTAAAAAATGTATATTAAGTAGTATCATCTTCTGATTACAATTACCACTACGTGATAAAAGACAAAAAAAAAAAAAAAAAAAAAACAAACACGTGTCTCAAAGTTTTTTCCAAAGTCATGCACTTTTGTATATGCCCCCAAAAATTAGGGGTCTCGGTGGCATTTTTGCAAAAAAGGTAATTTTCTCAGGCTCATATCTTTCAAACCGTTCGGAATATTGATTTACTCTCTGAGGCTAAGTTGTAGTAGCTCTTGGCATAAAGAAAACAAATCGTGAACATATAGAATAATAAAAAAGTCGCCTTCATTTTTTTCACTTAATGTGGAAAGTTTTACATTGTGAAATTGCACTGTTTTTATTGACGACACCTGTACGTATACGTGTTAATGATTTATCGATATTACAAATATTAAGTATACGCCTAATTTAGAGAAGCACTTAAAGTATTTTTTTAACTCATAAAAAATCAAATCTTTTAAAGATTTTTTGTGATTTTGATCTTGAATGAATCGTTTATTTTTTTACAAATTCTGTGAGAATTTGTAATTTTGGCTCTAGTGCCATTCTAGAAGTTTCAAATTTCATAACTTTTATGTCAAGAAAAACACCTTTATCAATAAAAATCCATCAGATTTATTTTGTAAAATATAATCCTAACACTAACAACGTGTTCACATCCTAAAAAATATCTTCATCCATCGCGTACGTTATAAGAACCTTTTAAATTTAGCCAGTTATTGTTATTATGCCAATAAAACTAAATATTATCATATTCACTTGACAAATTATACTTACATGTGTTGGACTTGCATTTAATTTTGGAAAATTAATATTTGTTGGCTTTAGCTGCAGTGTCGATGGTTTACTTGGTGTCGGTGGTAGACGTCGACCTCCACCACGACGATGGTTTAAATTTGGGTAACTATGTTGGCCATGGGGTCCACCTAAGAGCGTGAGAGCGAGAAAAGAAAATACAAATGAAAAAACAATGTTCAAATTAAAATAAATAAATATTTGCCATGAATGAGAAAATATGCAAATATGTTGTTTTTTTTAATATTTTATAAATAATAGTATATGACATAAATTTGAATGAATTTATTAATAACACACATTTAATGTAGAGTTTTATTAGTTTAATACTGATAAATGTATATAGCATTTTGTTGTAGCTTGTGTGATTATTGTATTTAATGAAATCGCAGTTATACAAAAATTTAGACATCAATTAATTAAAAATTAAACAGTTAGAAAAAAGAGAGACAAAGTGCTCTAAAACCAAAGGAAAGAAAAAAATTACCAAATGATAGACATGCATGACATTTAATAAAAAAAATAATATTTTTTAAAACAATAAATTAAAAAAAAAGTAATTTTTTTGAAAATTATATTCAACTAAAGAAAGCCAAACTAATGGCCTTAAAAAAAGCCATACAAAATTATCTGTCCAAAAGAAATTTTAAAGAAACTAATTAAAACGAAAGTAATTCAACTAAAAAAAAACACAAATTTGTTAGTAACGCATAAACCCACTTAATAAAACGTTATGATGACATGTTATGACATGAGGGCGCACATTGACATTGACATAATTTTGTTAATTAAATGTTGACATTTTAGATGACATTTAACACATAACAAGACGACGATTGTAGTTTGTTTTTTAAGAGCGAGAGAAAGAGAAAACAAAACATATGTATGATAAAGATGGATTGATCAAAAACTTTTGAGATGATTTGTTGTTTTTAAAGCTATTTAAGTAAAATGAGAAATATGAGTCCTAAACGATAATGATGACTGCAACTGACTGAAGACTTTTGTTTAAACATGACACGATCAAAACTATTTTCAAACCAAAAAAAAAAAATGCATGACTCTAAGAAAAAGACAACAATGACTGTAACAAATGATGCTCTAAATTGTTGTTGTTTGATTAATTGACTTGATTCTAGTGTTTTATTGTTGTTGTAGTGAAATTGACAGCTAGTGTGGAATGATAACAGTCCTCAGAAGGACCAACATTTTCTAATACTGAAACAGTGTTTTAATGTAAGTTTCATTTAACAAAGCAAAAATTTAGTTAAATTTGATTTTTTCTAACACAAGTTGTAATTTAGAGCAATTTTTTTGTTCTGTAATTCCAAACTGATTAAAAGCTAAAAATAATATTGTTTTATATTGTTGTTGTTGTTATTTGTGGGTGATTGATTAGTCTGTCAAAGTGTTGTTGTTGTTTTAATATATATGAGAGAAAAAACAAGTTATACTGAGTATAATTGGCGAGAAAGAGAGATAGATATAGAGAAAGAGTATAACAGTGAAAAATTAATATAGAGAGTGTGTATAGAGAGTACCCATATCAATCCCATAGCCAAGTCTATCTCTTTCACGCATCTCCTGTAGTCTAGCAGGACTTGGTGATCGTGATCTTTGACATAGACTTGTTGTCCCATATGTGGGATAAGGCAGTTCAGGGCGTCTGGTGCGCGGTAAATGGCCACCATAACGTGAAGGTGAAGGCGAGCGGGCCGGACTTGTCGATGCTGACCATGAACCTGTTAGTTGGTATACATTAATATTTGAAAAAAAAAATAAAATAAACAATAATTGAAAAAAACGAACAACAACAAATAGGCAATAAATAATAGAGAAGGGGAAAAAAGTATATTGTAAATTTTCTTTTTCTTGAAATTTTTTTTTTTTTTTTGTAAAATTATTTATTTTTATGTAAAATATGGCAAAATATTTTTAGAAATATTATTATTTTTTTTAATATAATGAGCAATTTAAATTTAAATAAATTATAAATTAAAAAAAAAAATGGCTTAAAAAGCTTATTTACAAAAACAACGAAAGAGTTTTAAACAAAATCTAAGACATTAATTAAATATTAAAATGTTTTTATTATTAGTTTATATAAAAATTGTAAAAAATGTTTTTAAAATATTGTGTAAGTGTATGGTAAAAATATGTAAAAATAAATTTTGCCCCCCTCAGAAAATCACATAACAGCTTAATAAAACGAAATTAAAAAGACCCGTAGATTTATAATTGACCCTACTCTCCCTATATATGATAGACGGAATTCAACAATGGGGATTGATCCAATATTGATCCAACCTCCCATACAAAATTTTGAAAGTCCACAGAAACTAGTTTTATATAAATTTAAAATTTTCGAATATAATTGACCACATATAACATTTCTAACTGAAATTATGGAATTAAAATAAAATAAATTCGACAAAAAAAATACTTTTTGGACATTTTTTTTTAGAATTTTCCATTCTGTAGAGTATATTCCATAACTGAATCAAGCCTCCATTAAGCATCTAAGATATATGTAAGTATGGTCACCTTCTTTGATGGTGTGTATATAAGATTCGGTACAAAAGACAAATTTTTTAAAGGAGACCTTATATAGAGTCAATAATGATAATCATACGGCAGCAAAAAGTGGCCTATATTTGGATCCAAACATTTCCAGTCAATTCACACCTTCGGATTTTAAAACTAATATTAAACTCTAGGTTAAAAACAATCAATTGGATGTTTTAAAGTTTGTTTTTGTTGCGTTGATATTTTTGACCTGTTTTGATCTCGGTGCCATGGGTATCGATGTTTTTGACATTTTTAAACTTTATGATCTAAAAATGTATCTGATAAATCTCGAACGCCTAACACTATTTATTAATTAACAAATGGGAGATCGAAATAAAATGTTTAATATTATTATAAATTAACGTTTCTATAAATACATATGGGCAATTTCGTGTCAAGTGTACCAATTTTGAAAATCGATGTCTTCCGATTTAAATATAAACGTTATTAATTAAAGTAGGAGAGCAGCCACTTCCATATAAAAAATGAGTTTTAAACGTCGCATATCAGAGAAACTGCTATAATATTTGCGTGGACAACTCTAACATCCATATAAACACTTGGGTATAAAATGGGCGGTCTAGGTACAGTGGGTGTGGCACATAATAAAAAAAGTAATCCATTTTTTTAACCACTTTAGTAGTAATATGAATATTTAAGTCAGTTAGGTTAGGTTATGTGGATTGCTTGCTAGTTAGCGAGTTCACTTGGAGGCCTTGTGGCCAATTGTGATACCCTTGGTATTACCATTCTATTATGTTGAGGTAATGGCTTCCCCTCCCTAATTTCGTTGACTATTTGGTTCTTGCGGTCCCCGTGAAAACCAGTCGGTATTTCAAAACCGATCAAGTTTACTAGTAACACATCTCTAAGACAGTCCAGATCATGGAAAGAGCTGTATCTAAATATAGTAGTCTGGGCTCTTGAAAGGTTTGCGCTACAAACTTTTCAGAGTGAAAGCGAAGCTTAATGCGCGAAAACAGATCGCATCACTTGTAGCGCCCACTCTGACATCAGCCTAAGGCTTCTACAGTAGCTACAGAGTGGGCCAGAGCAGTATCGATATTCTGACCAACTGAGTTCCGTCTCTCTTAAAGCCCAGTCATCTATCAATTTTTATAGGGTCACCAGAAGAGTATGAATATCTCTTTGTGCAATAGTTAAATAAGTCTAGTAATGACCCTTTGGTTGCGCATTCATCAGATATTTCATTTCCCCGGTTGCCCTCATTTCCTGAACTCATATCAACTCAACGAGATATTGTGTCAATTGTGCCAATGATTGAATACAATTAAGAAGACATTTCGACTTAATAACATTGGAGTTAAGAGCCTTGATTTTCGAGATTCAATTCCCGGATCAATCACGCTACTATATCGTTGGCATATATCTCTGCCTGAAAGACACGTGCACGGTCAGGTAGTGGAAGAGATAGCAGAAGATTCAGTTGTTCGAAGAAGATTCACGATCTCGTGCCCTTTTCTGTCAGTGAACCATCAGTGTAGATTGAGATCACGTAGTCCCTTAGGTCTGTGTCCGCGGCCCAATCATACCTTGTCGGCAGCATTTATGTAAAAATGGGCGCACTAACAATAAGGGGCGTGATACCTCTCATGAGAATTAATTACAAAACTTCGAATATCTGGGAAACTATTCGATCTAGAATCTTCAAATTTTATACGAAAATCTTTTACACTCATGTGAGTGAAACTGGACGGACTAGCAATCGGACAATATGGTTATCGAGTTAATTAGATCAATTATGTCATAAAATATTAAATTTGCTTGATATGTTATGCTTTCTCCAATAAGTAAGCTACTTGTCAGCTACTACTTATTACATAGTAATCTGTATAATAAGAAGTATCCATTAAAAAGTATATAAAAGTTTAATGTATTCCAAGTAATGTATTTTCTTTTGTGCTGTATATTAAAAATAAATTTATTAAAATTTACAATAAGTTAAACAACAATTATTGACACTTTTATTAAACTTTTCCAAAAGTGGTTAAATAAAAACAATTGTTTGTTTTGATTTTCGATTTCATACAAACAACATTTAACAGTGTCATGCAATTGTTTTATTTATTTATTATTTTTTTTTTTTTTTTTTGTCATTTTAACATTTGTTGTTGTAGGTTTTCTGGTGTTTTATGTATATTGTTTATACAATAAATAAAAAAAATTTAAGAAAACAAATAAAAATTATAAAACTTATAATAAACCAAATACAATTAGCATGCCTTTCTTCTGTCTTGAAAAAAGTATAAAGTTTTTTCGTAAAATATTTATTTTGGAATTATAAAAAGCTTAAGGTAATAAAAAATAAAGTTTAAAAATTATATATAAAAAAGTATTTGAGTAATGAAGAAAATAAAAGAAAATTACATACCTCTTGGATAACGCGTATGATGACCGTAACCACGAGGATGACGGGTCTCCTTGACCATCTCTACAACATTAGATACAGTATCCGAAAACCCAATATCATGATGTTGATATGGATGGCCACGCCGTCTACTTGGACTAGGTGATCTGTAAGGAAATTTAAGGATACAAGTTTTTAAGAAAATTTTAGAAATATGGTAAACAACAAGATTTAATTACCTTAAACTAGGTGATCTTCTATGACCATTTTGATAAGCGTGTCCAGGATGTAAATGACCAGCATCGGCACCGGTTAATGATTCCTGAGATGGATGTCTGGGCGCATCCCGCAGTTCCAACATCTATATCAAGATTATTGTTTGTAAAATAAATTAAAGTTTAATTTTAATAATTTTTCTTTAAAAACAACTATAGGTTTAATGTAATAAACATTTGCAAATTACTTTTTTTTTTTTGTAAATTTAAATAAAAGTTACAAAACTTTAATAGGGGGGGTCTAGTATATAAATATTTGTTTTTTTTTTTTTTTTTTTGTTTAATAAAGGTTGGGATACAATGCAGGAGGGTTTTTAATAAAAATATTTAATATATATATTTTAAATGTATATTTTTATTATAAATATATATATGTAAGTATAGTTGTATGTATAATAAAATAAATAAATCACATTTAATTAAAACATTTTTAACATTTCTACTTAAAAATAGTAACTTTATGTTAAAGAAAAAAACCCCTACTAATAAACAATTCAATTCAAATCAAATCAATTTCAATTGTAAACTGTTTACTCTAATAAATTAATTTGAACACTCTAATTCTTAATTAAATTTTCAGTAATTATTCTTTTCAATTGTCATTAAAATTGTAATTTATTTTTGTTTTTGCAATTTGTCCTATATTTATGAAATATTTTTTAAACTAAATTTTTTATAAAGAAAAATTAATTAAAAAAAATAAAAACTAAAATATTTCTAAATAATTAAAAAAAAAACACATAAAAAAGTGCTACGTTTAATTTTAACTATTTCAACCAATTTTTACAAAAAATATATTTTAATTAAAATATTTTACTCATGCATTTTAGTAAATTTTTTGCTACATGATTTGCTCTATAAAATGGTGAATTACTTACCCCTGTTTGAATTTTAAAATTAAAATTAAAAATAAATTTACCAAAAATCTCAAAAATTTTAACACAAAATATGATATAATGATTGATTTTAATTATATACAGTGTTTTATGTACAGTGTGGTGCAAAAATGAATGTATGAATTTTACGTGTTGGTATTTTAACATTTACTAAATATTTGTTTTTCTAAACGAAGAAGTAAATATTTTCAAGTTTTACACGGTAGTTAGACGAGACGCGTATCACATTATTTTTTTGTTATTTAGGACACAGCAAACGTATATATTTTTATATGGTCTTAGGGGAGTTGAACAACGATTTTGAAGCACAATATACAATATATTATACATAGCATAGAACATTTATTACACATCTTGATTACAATAAATAATTGTCATTTAACCTGAATTTTATAAAACCTTAATAATAAAAGGAAGCTAAGAATAGTTTCAGTCTGTTATAAGAACTTTTTCGCCTTACAATTAAAGTTGAAAATGTACGATATTTAACATATCTTATCTCTGTCCTGCTATTTAATAGTAGTAATAGTATTTTTCTTCAATGATTATATATTATTTCATTCATCTCGCACACTCGACGCACTCACTACACGCAGAGAAAAAACATTAACCGACATGGTTGCAACAACTAAAGTATGTTCATCGTAACAGTATGTTATGGTTGTAAACAAATAATTGTTATTTTGATATGATACGAACAATATGTTTACGGTAAGTAAACATTTATATGTTCATTGAAATTATAAATTTTAGTATGATTCACTGAAACAGAATTATTTTTACATCAACTAAAGAATGGTAACTATGCAAACATATTAAGTTATTTATAATCGTTTAAGCTTGTAAATAACCGTTAAATTTTATATTACGATCTTTTTGAATCATAATATGATCATTTTTGATCAAGAAGCGAACTATATTTTGATCATATTATGATTACAACTGTATTTTATCATAATATGATAATTATAGTAGTATAATAATCAGCATATGGTTAGAGAACAACATTAAATCTAACCATAATATGTTGCTCTTAGAATATGGTTGCAGTAGTTATGGTTTTTCTGCGTGCTGCGATCAATATTCACATATCTGTCTCAAAGGATACAGAAATTTTTATACTTTCCGAAAAATGGAAAATTTTAACTTTTTCATGACGTTTAAAAAACTAAAATCGGATCTCAGATATTTGAGATGTAAATTTTTAAGTCCAAAAACAATTAAGTATAGGGGTTTTTTTGTGTTATGAACTGCTATACTAGACTTTGAACTGCAATAGGGCTCTTGTCACGCCGCGTGACAATAATAACTGAAACTGATTCTGTTATTGGGTTATATAGTCGACATTAGTTCAATGAAAGTTTCTGGATTAAGTGTTTTCAAGTGACAAACACTTTCGAAACTGGTCGATCGATACAATTAGAATCGGACCAAGTCCTTATAATCAAAACGACTTTTAGAATATATCGTTAAATCCCAATAATTTCAAATTTGAGATATTAAATAAGTAAGAAAGTATAGTCGAATTATCTCCAAAATTAAGACATGTAGTTTGATTAAAAGTTTTACATGGACAGACAGACAGACGGATATAATTTTTTGAGCCGATTGGTATACTTATAGACCATTTGTTAATTTTAATCAGAGCTTTGCTGATGTACCACTTTGGGTACATAATCGTGGCGTACCTTAGATGATGTGCATTTATTTAATTGTTCATCAAATGTACAACATTTTTAGTTATACTCGAATACGTGGATTTTCTGCAATTTGTAAGAATTAATAAACATGACTTTACCACCATATTTTTCATTCACTCAGAAGTAGGGTTCTATAAATCGCCTTTCGAATAATCAAACAATCCACTTTTTGTCGAAAACAATCAAAGGCGACTATTTTGTTCCAAAAAAGTCGATAACTCGACTATCGTCTATTGAAAACGTCCAATTTGTAAATAAAATCGAAAAATCGAAAATTTTATGTTTTTTCCAACAGTTTAAATTAAGTTAAATATTTTTATATTTTTAAGTTAAATATTAAATATTTTTATATATTATTTTTCCTTTCGGAAAAAGTCGAATTTTCATAAAACGAAAAAAGTGGACTTTTCATAAATCGTTTTTTGTTTCAACTACATAACCCTACTCAGAAGTTATGGTTCTATAGTTTAAACGAATAGCCGACTTTTCGACTTTTAGCATTTTTTGAAAAGTCGATTTTTAAACTTTTCGACTTTCGTCTTTAATTAAAAGTCGACTTTTCGGCTTTTAGTATTTTATAAATAGTCGACCTTTTGACTTTTTCCGACCTTTAGACTTTTTCGAATTTTCGAGTTTTTTCGACTTTTTCCGACTTAATTTCGACTTTTCGATTTTTCGACTATTTTCGACTTATTATCGACTTTTTTCGAATATTTTTTGACTTTTTTCGACAATTTTCGAGTTTTTCCGACTTTTTTCTAGTTTTTGACTTTTTTAACTTTTTTTCCGACTTTTCGACTTTTGACGACTTTTCGACTATTTTCGACTTTTTATCGACTTTTTTCGAATATTTTATTACTATTTATTTACAAAGTCGACTTTTCGACTTTTTTCATAGACGATAGTCGATTTATCGACTTTTTTGGAACAAAATAGTCGACTTTTTTTCGAATATTTTTTTTTTACTTTTTTCGACTATTTTCGATTTTTTCCGACTATTTTCGAGTTTTTGACTTTTTTCCGATTTTTTTAACTTTTTTTCCGACATTTGGACTTCTTCCGAGTTTTCGACTATTTTCGACTTTTTATCGACTATATTCAAATATTTTTTACTTTTTGACTTTTCGACTATTTTTCGACTATTTATTTACAAAGTCGACTTTTCGAATTTTTTTTTAGATGATAGTCGAGTCATCGACTTTTTTGGAACAAAATTTTTTTTCGACAAAAAGTCGATTGTTCGATTAATCAAAAGTCGATTTACTCAGAAGATCTTCATAAAATTTTCGAAGGAACTTTAGCAATATATTGAGTTACTCGTATATAGTACATCTATGAAAGTCGAATTTCTAGTTTAACTTGTCAAAGTATCATTTATTCAGTACTGTACAAAACAATTTGTATTAATTCTTTAAAAGAGTATGAAAGTCAGTTTTATCGATGTCGGATTTAACGATATAACTACCATAACATGACAGCAGTGTTCCAGAGAACTAGTTCTTAAAGTGCTGGCAATATTACTCATTCCAAAGCTGCTAATCAAGAATCTGAGATGGTTCTGTTTGCTTTTGTTCTAGAACCAGTTATTTTGGAAAAAAGTTCAAAATGTTTTCTGGTTTATATTTTACAAGTTTTCTTGAATGTATATTAAGTGAAAAACGATTAAACCGATCTCTTAGAATCTTCGTCTATTAAATAAATCTCGATTCTCAACAAAACTCTAAGGCCCGTTATCTCAAATTCCAGTTATCGTTTAGCCAGTAGATGTCTGTCAGTTAAAACAAAATTTTATAAGAAAGCTTTTAACTTAACGTTAGGATAAAAACTAACCAGACTTTGAGATAAAGGGAATAAATCTATATAAACTTAAAATAAGATCTAAAAATCCTATTAGATTTTAAACTATGAAATATAAAATAACTAATTTAAACGTGTGTCGTTAATGTTTTATTATTTAACATTAAACTACAACAAGCTCTATACGGTGTCAAAATTAAATTGAAAATAACTTTTTCGACTCCACTAAAAAAACTGATATGAGTCTATTGAAAAATTATATATACACAAAACTATAGCTTCGTTTCTAAGTTCTTTTTTTTTGGCAATTAAAAGGATTTTTTTTATACGAAACACAATTAAGAAATTAAACAACATTAAATTTTTCATTAGATGAATAATTACAATTAAGATAAGAAAACATAAAATACAGGACACACAGATATTAAGAGTAAGTAAGTAGTAGTACGATTATAGTATACATAGTTATAGTAAGTAACCACATCGATTTTTTTTTAATATTATTTTTTACACACACACACACTTATTATTGTTTAATTAATTAATTAGTTTAATATACGTTTTAAGAGGACTTTTAATATTGTTTTATTTTTAAAACATTTTTTTTTTGTGTTACCATTTGCTGTTTAATACAATTATTCACCTTTTTGTTTCTGAAATTTGAGAAAAATTATATAAATTTAAAATGTGAAA